TTAGGAAGATCATTTTGCATGGGATTAATATTTTCATGGAGTAAAAAGGAGATGGATTTTTGATTCATAAATAGTAGTATCTCCATTTGACACATATGTATACACTCGTCGTTTCTTCTTTTTACTATGGTGACTTTCGATGTATGCAAAGTTGGACTTTTAGAAGAAGACCATAAGAGAGGAGAAAAAATTGTTTTATACACAGTTTTCTAAAAACGTTTTAGGCGTTCGCCTAGATAGCAATTAAGCATTAGATTCCTATAAACCGTGGCGATTATCATTTTTATCGCCTAAAATATTATGGTATTATAATAATGAAATAATATAATTTTTTACATATATAAATCGTAAAAATGTTATATATTTGACTATAAAATAATGAATATAAATATAATACAAATTTTGTTAGTTATAAATTATGGTTTTTTATATATTTATCATATATATTTAATATATTATGTATTTTTTTGTAAAACGTTTAGACCGCCTATTAAATCGCCTAGGTTTCGATTAAACGTTTTAGACACTAGGCATTGGATCACCGCCTGCTTCGCACCTAGCGCTTTCGTGAACATTGCATTTTCATATAACATGTAACCGAAAGATCGTAAGCCTATATTTGATTTGTTAGAGCTTAGGATTGGTGATGTGTGTCAACAACATACACATTGTTTACATCAATAGTTGTGTTTTATGATATCACTAGTTAAATTTGTCGTATGTTTAAGTAAAGTAGGATGGTGGTCAAAAGTCCTCAAGTTCAAAGTTATTAGTTTCTTTCACCATTTATCCAAAAGAAAAAGCAAGGTCGTTAGGTCCATAGAGTCGAAAACTGTTGGATTTTTGCTCTCGTTAGTTCTCTGTTTCACATCTTCTTCTCTCTGTTTTTGTGAAACAAGAAGAAGCGTAGAGAGATATTGACTACATTTTGTTATTGGATCTCAAAGATGTTTTTTACATCATCACATACAACATTTTATAGTAGTTTCTCTACTTACTACACAAGACTTTTGAGTCTCAAAATAACTAGCCTCATAGCCATAATTGTTCTAGATTTAGAAAGAAACAACTCAATATTATGATAAGATAAATATCCATTAGTGATAAGACCATCATTATCCATGATACAATGTGGATATCATTAAATATAAAATTATTAAAAACACACTTTTTTTTTTACTTAACTTTATATCTTTTCTTTCATCTTTTTACTCAACTTTTATTAATTTTATACTCTATTTAAATATAAAATTATTAAAAACACATTCTTTTTCTCTTCAAAAATATCAACTATATCAACTATTTGATACTCTCTCTCTAAAAATACCTACTATCTCTTCTCTTTACTCAAATTTTATTAATTTTATATTTCAATATACCCCATTATTTCAACAAAAATACTCTTTTTCTTCTTTTTACTCAAATTTTAATAATTTTATATTTAATGATACCCACATTGTATTATTGTTAATGATGCTC